AGTCCTCGCCCTGCGGTGGAGCCAGAGCGCACCCGGAGCAGCCGCCAGCTGTGAGAAGCGCAGGTCGGGGGTCCAGGGACCTGAGTTCCATCCGGACCTGAGCACTAGCTCACTCTGCCCCCCCTCTGGGCCTCAGTTTCCCCAAATGTACCCGCAGATGTCTCCACACTGAGCAGCTGCCGTTTCAGGACGGGTCCCAGAGGTATTTAGAAGGAACCCGGGAACCCGGGAGGAGAAGCCTTGCAAGGCAGCAGGGTGTGCACCAGGGGGCGTCCACCCAGTGTGAGGACTGGGGGCGGGGGCCGTGGGGGAGGACTCCCCTCTCCCCTCCTCGCTGGAGGCCCCGGAGCTGGAGGAGTTCAGGAAGCGAAGGGAACTGGTGTTCACGGCACCCCAGTCTGTGGGCCAGGTGCTGTGTGACGGGGCAGAGGCGGCCTCACTGGGAAGCGGTTTTTTTTTCAGTGCTCGGCCAAGGGCTGCTGTGGCCGCCCCGGAGGCTGCCCACGGAATACTGTTCCCTCCGCCACCCCAGCTCCTGAATGGGCCCAGCACATGTAGACTTCACAGAGCGTCTTCTCGCCACCTCGTGCATTATAAGGTCGAACCATATAAAATTGCTCAGAGTCCATTAGGTTTGACAAGACAAAACGGCAATTTCATGTGGCTCGGCCAAATACTTGCGGCTACATCGGTGAAGTGTGCTTTAGGTCTGCAGGGTCCACCCTTTTCCAGGCCCAAATTCAGATGGGCTAGGTTGCTGCTCGGAGCCTTAGATCCGAGCTATAGGCTGACCGGGCACTTAGCCAAGTTCAGCATACAGGGTGGGCAAATGTAGGTTTACAGTTGTGAATACACAAAACACAGTTTATTCTTGTATTATTATTTATTCTTGTATTATTTCCTTTTACTGTTTGTTTATTTTGTTAATCCTCACCCGAGGATATTTTTCCCATCAAGTGGAAGGGAGAGGTAGGGGTGGAGGATGGGGGGAGGGAGAGAAACATCCATGTGAGAGACACATAGTTTGGTTGCCTCTTGAACACACCCCACCTGGGGCCAGGGATCTAACCTGCAACCCAGGTATGTACCCTTGACTGGGAATCAAACCCATGACCCTTCTATGAGCAGGCTGACGCTCTAACCACCGGCCAGGGCTGTATTGTTTCCCATAGGAACAGCTGTCAACCTACTTTTGCCCACCCTGGATTGGCCGGGCTTGAGCTCCCTTCACGGAGAGATAGGTGTTGAGTGTAAGGACCACCTCCTGGTGCCGGGTGCCCAGCCAGGAAACTGGCCCTGAGAACAGGAGGGCTAACTAGTCATCCATGTGAAACCATGGCACCTCGGTCATTTCTGAAGCACCTTCGTTTACTTGTTATTTATGGGTTCCCCACACCTCGGGGAGGAGAACAGGGTGCAGACTGCTTCCCCGTTATCAGTGGGCCACCGTGGGCCCTGTCCTCCCACACACGGCCCACAGCAGGGTCCTCACTGCGCAGCACTGGGCACCCCGTGTGGCTTCTCCGCAGAAGACAGTGGTGTGACCCAAACAGGCTGTTGGCAGAGGGGCGCAGCACTGTTCTGTTCCTTACCCCCCTCCCTCTCTTCTGTCTTCCTACCCCCGAGAATTCATTTAAATGCCCTTGTGATTCAACACCTCAGCACGTGTCTCAGAAGCAAATTTCAGGAGCAATTTGCATTCACATTTCCATTGGGGTGAGAGAGAGCAAGTCAGGGTGGGTGCTCCGTGCAGGGGAACCAGCTGGCTCGGAAAGGCTCTCTGATAAAAATCAGCTTTTGAGAAAGTTCCTGTTGATGCAAAGTTACTCCACACTGTCTTGCACAGCCCAGAGCGACTTCCCCATTCTCCGGCCAATGTCTCTTTAAGGACAATCTGTCCCTTTGGGGTAAAGGTGAAAGAAAAAATTAGAGGAAATACTTGCTGAGAAGATAAAGGTACCCATTTCACTCGAAAAGTGTTACAATCTTGATGGGTAATAACAGTGGCAGTAAAGACTATTTCCAGGCAACCGGTCAGTCATTTCTAGGTCATCGTCAGGTCAACACCCCAACCCACCCTTGCACAATTCAGTCAGATAGCGGAGAGGACTGGGTTTTTTTCTAGATAAATTGAGTCACAGATCTCTGGCTGTTCTCCCCAGCATCCTGCACAGTGGTGTAGGCAGGACTGGGAGCTGGAGTCCTTCGCAGGTCAGATTCTCCTGGAAACAGGCCCCCTCCATTGGCCCCTCCGTGTCTGCTGGGGACAGCCCGACTGCAGACCTGAGAGCCCAGAGACTAGCCCAAGTCTGGGCCAACTTAACCAACTGGTGTGTTTCTTTCACTCTGTTGACTGAAAGTAATCCAGGTAAAGTGGTGTGACTGTAACAGATAGAACATTTCTGGGAAATCGTGCTTGACCCATTTTCATTCCGTGGCAGCACTTTTAGGAAAGCTAAGTGCAATAAGTTAGCCTGGAATATATTCAGGGAGTGTAAGCAATTCTTACAATTATATATTTTTAGTGAATATTCTTATAACATATTCATGAGAAATACACTCTAGAACACCTCATTCTCAGAATATATTAATGAAGAATAAATATTTCCTTTTGATCCTCAATCTCTATCCCCCAGTCTTTCTTCTCAGTCCCCTCTCTTCCCTACATCTGCCTCTGCTTCTTGCTTCCCTTTATTCCTCTCTACCCCACCACCCC